GCAGTGGTTGCAGGGGCAGTGGCTGCAGGGGCAGTGGCTGCAGGAGTGGTGGCTGCAGGGGCGGTGGCTGCAGGGGTGATGGTGGATGCAGGGGCGGTGGCTGCAGGGGTGGTGGAGGCAGTGGTGGTGGCAGTGGTGATGGTGGCTGCAGGGGTGGTGGCGGTGGCAGCAGGGGTAGTGGTTGCAGTGGTGGCTGCATCAGGCATGCCTTGGTTCTGCAAGCTCTGAGTTTGCCCAAACACAAACTCAAACACACACACACACACACACGCACAAACAGAAACACACACACACCACACACACACACACACACACACACACACACACACACACACACACACACACACACACACACACACACACACACACACACACACACACACACACATAAACACACACACAGGAACAGTGGCAAAACTAAAGTTACCCATTGCGTCATCCGGCCCATTGGAGTGACATGCGTTGTCTAACACATAACAAGTCATGCACTGCATGCACTTCAGAAGTACCGGTAGGTATTCTCTGCTTCTACATTCACAAAACTGAACACTTCTAACTAAACATGTGTCAGACTCACTGCGAACAGGCTGGCAGGTGCTGCGTTCATGCCAACTACCTTCAAATTGTCAGTCATTCTCGAGTCATCTGCAAACAAGAAAGCATCACAAGAACGCGTAGAGGTACGAGAACAAAGTTTCAATGTCCTACTAGCCTACAGATGCAGGAGTCAGCATTTAAAATACTGGCTACTGGCCAGCACATCTGGCTGCAGCCAACTACCCTTCAATTCGTGTGCTGTTGCCATCGTTGTCTTTGTCTCTATGTAATGCAGTGTATATGGTAGCGATGCCGGAGTAGAATACCAATGCACAAAGGAGCGGCTATTTTTTGTGCCGAGTGCCTGTGAGGCAAAATCTGACAGAACAGAAATCGCTGACGAAAGTTTTTATTAAATTATGTCTGCTGAGCAGAATGGCCAGAGGGATAACTGTTATTCGCAACATTGTATGCTTTAGATGCATGCACAGTATACCCAGAAGAACAGAAACCCATATGGAAAATGTAGAGAAAAGTAGATACGAAGCAAAGATGCCCTTTACTTGTAATCAAAGTACAAGAGAATTCAACAATGACGGAAAATGCGGTTTCTTTCTCACTAGGGGGTTTAATAACAATAATAATATTTGCAGGATCCGCCTCGGCTTGAATGTTCAGAAATGCACAAACTAGCCTTCGCATCCGCAGGACACCACTATGCCTGTACACCTTAGTGACGAATGAAGATCTCACAAGTGAGTCAGGGGAGAGAAGGTTAGTCTCTCAACCAATCGTACGCGTAACGGCCCATAGCCCTGTAAACTGCATCCTTGTTATCCTCACTCCGAGCTGTGAGTACCCAGTTGACCGTGGGTGTCGGCGCAGTTCAACACGCGTAAAAAGTATTTTACACGCTCCCTGCTACCAGCGCGGGTCTCGAACTCGGGACCTCATGATTCGCAGGCAGGCCTGCAAACCAATCTACTAAGCGTTGTGTGATGTCGTCGGACAGTTGGCTAAATGCGATGAAACCCAGATTATCAACCAAACCAAGCATGCCACCATTACTACTTGTAAAGGAGAAGACAAATTTAGAAGACAGAACGACAAACACGGAACAAAGGAAGAGAGAACACACCAAATGTAGGAGAGTGCTATCTCGCCTTCTGTTCCGAATTTTTTTTAAATTCAGGTGGAATTTCACCACAAAACTTAGCCATGCACTGTCACACTATCTCTCACAAACCTCAAACATGTCGGCCACAGTGTTCCGTATTTTAGCACATACATAATCTCTATTTTTTTCTCCATTCCTGAAGATGGGCCTTGCCCGAAAATTCGGATAATTTCATTCTTTTTTCAGTGATTGGTGTAGGCCAGAGACTGATTGGAGAGTGTTGTGAATATGTATGGTTATAAGGGATGGCTACAGTGAAGCTACTTCGAAGTAGGGTTTACCGGGTGTTAGTGGCTGTCGTGAGTTCCCTTCGGGAACGGACACGATAATTTACTTTCTTTTTTTAAATTTTACAATGGAGCCTGTGCATATTGAGACATGTTCATTTCCGGCCAAGCATCCAATTCGGCCGGACCAGGTGAAATTCCGGTCACGCGGCTACACCCTGTGATATGAACCGTATGGCTTACCTTTAGGTACATGATGAATGTCCAGCGGTTCCAGTTCAGCTAAAATCTCTCTGACACGTGTGTCAGTCTCTGAATCTCTTATGCAACTAAGAAACATGTGGAACGAATCTGCATCTCCACCTCTCAGCTCATCTAGGAGTCTTTCATTGTGATCGATCGGGTCACGAATCGAAGTCAAGCTTTTCTTGAATCGCAGCGTGATGATTCCGCAAGCGTCACAACCCATCCGTATTCCAGGAGGATCGAGGGTTTCTATTATGGTTGGAACCATACGCCTGAACTCCAACATCTTCCATGGATTCGTCATCTTGCCTTGCCTCTGGCTAGCGAACTGCACACATACACCATGACGAAAGCAGAGTGTGAGAAACAAAAACCCAAATGACAAGTCCCTTTTCCCCGCAGCCAGGAGGGGAGCAGGTGTGCTAGAATAGACTCCCCGAAATCATCGGAAGAGCGCACAGGAGCAAGTCGCATATCTGACGTTCAGTCAGTCGGCATGACGGTTATCGCACGGTGCATTGCCAGCTCATACAGTGAATATTTACAGTCCTACTTAAAACAAATGTCAGTATCGACATTGAGCGTCATGAACGTTACCCGAATCTCACTGTAACTGGCAGTGCAATGCTACATACAACTCAGTATAAAACAGAGAGGTTCCAGGCTGTCCAAGAGAGTGCTCAATACCGAGAGGCAGAGCTGGTTCAAACAATGAGAGGTAGAGCTGGTTCAAACAACACAACTCGGTCTACACAGTCTACACTGGAGCTCCAGATTTTCCCGCCAACCTGACTCGACCGTGACAGTCATGATTGCTGAGACTGCCATCCAGACCACAAAAAAAGTCCATGGTTCCTTCGAATCGGCAATGGGATGGATGGCAGGCAAGTGTCACGTCAGGATGTCGGAAAACCAATAAGCTGGAAGGGGAAGTTAAGCCCAAAAACAAATTATTATTTCACCAGTTGTAGTTTTCGGGGTGCTGAGTCGAACTTGATCGTCTTGGTCCGAGGAAGCTGAGACGCTCCCTTCCTCCTTTATTCCAAATCAAACTCGCGCACTTCCACCGAAAATGGGTGACTGCGCCCTACTAGATGGGGATTTGTATGCAAAAAGTCACTTAAAGCGCTGTTTCGTTCTTATAAAAGCACGGATGACCGCGATTGGTCCATATGTTGTAGTCTTTCGGACGCTGAGTCGACTGGTTTTGGTCCGAAAAGGCTGCGATGCAGCGTTCGGCCGTTATTCCCAATCGAACACGGGTGAGTAAGCGGTCACGTGCTCATGCGTACACAAGTCGCCTGGTCAGTGGTCACCGTGCCTGCAAGCTACAACTTTCACACCAAGGTTCAACTCAAAGGTTCAAAGGTTCAACTCGAGTGACAGGAACGCTGTGTTCGATTGGGAGTAAAGGAGGAAGGGAGCGTCTCAGCTTCCTCGGACCAAGACCATCAAATTCGACTCAGCACGCCAAAGACTACAACTGGTGAAATAATAATTTGATTTTGGGCTTAACTTCCCCTAAGTTGAGCTCCAGTGCAGTGTTGGGAGCATTTCCTACCATGACGGTAGTACATAACGTTAAATAAATCCAGGAATCACACAGTGTCAGTAGTCAGGCTGGCTTTTCATGAATCTGTGGAACGCCAACACCCCCAATCATGAAGACGCTGATGCACAAACAGCTCAGCTTATAAAGTAAATAACTAAACTAGGCAAAGTCGTGGAAGTGAGATTATCAGACCCACCATGCCGCGGAGCAGAATGTCGAAACTGAGACCCAATCACCGTTGTCAGGTCACAATCACCGTTGTCAGGTCACAAGCTCCGCACTGATTGTGGCTCGCAGGGGACTGCGATCGGAAAAATCCTTCAGCTCGGGTGCTTGCTAGTTGAACGATAACAAAACAACGCGAGATCGATGGCGGCTATCTCCTCAGTCCACCCCTTCAAATCCTGCTCCACGCGTAGACTACACGTCTATCATGAACTAACTAATTACTTTGCAGTGCTGCTACTGGGTGGTGAGTTGGTGGACAGGATGCATGTGCGACGATGCTGTGCATCATTCATTCTGAATCTTTAGAGTTCGGTCATCCTGGTGCACAGATATGCAGATATCGGCCGGTATTGCACTGGTCCTTGTGCAGTAATACATACTTATTATTATGTGAGATGACTCAGATAACAAAAGCAAAACAAAGCAACAGAGAACAGGCGCCTAGCCCTAGCCTAGCCTAGGCACATCTACCAGTCAAAATGATTGACGATCTACACGTAGATCTATGCCGCGAGGCTAGCGCTAGGGTAGATCTGCGGACAGCCGACAGAGATCATGCATAAAAGCAAGGATACTTCGAGGGACTTTCTCAAAGTTTCTGGGTAGTTTTTTCCAGATTCAAGTGTTCCCCGGCCCTAGCCCTGCGCTCTTCAGCAGTCTACATGTGATGTAGGTACTTTTTGTAGTTCCAAGCAGGGAGTCATACGACCTCCCTGGTCCCAAGCCAACGCGTTTATGACAGTGGCGCGCGCGGTACTCAGCAGTCAGCTCAGATATCAGGCGGATCCACTAGTACTACATTGTACTCTGTAGTGTAGATTCTACAGTGTTCGTGGTGTTTGTGTACTGAGTCTGTACCAAGACTGCAAGTAAAGAGTCCATATTAAAATTTTGTTTTATGCACTCTTGCTGGTACATGTGCGCGCATGCGGTATGTACATGTACATGATAATGCAGTGAGCTACAAAAAAATTACCGGTAATAATGATTGATTGGTAGACCGAGCTAGCTAGACTAGAGCTATCGCCTATGCCGGCCTAGCGCCTCGAGTCGGAGTTCTCCTACTTTTCCGACGCGCGAACACTTGCAACAGACCAGTAGGGGTCGGGCACGTGTGGAAGAAGGACTAAGATTTAGGTGGAGGAGGTGCGAGCTCCATCGACCTCGCGTTGCTGGTGGTGGAAGTCTGCAGGAAAACGCTTCGATTGTAAGTAACCAATGATTTCTTATCGTTCAACTAGCAAGCACCCGAACGGAAGGATTTGTTCCATCGCAGTTCAAGTGCGCCCTGACTGAGCCACAATCAGTGCGAGAGCTTGTGACCTGACAACGGGGTCTTTTCGATCACTCTGCCCTGCATGGTGGGTCTATGCGATCACTCCGCACTGCATGCCAGCATGGTGGGTCTTTTCGATCACGCCGCCCTGCATGGTGCCGGGGTCTGATAAACTCACTCCCACGGCTTTTGCCTCGTTTTGAAGCTGAGCTGCATCTTTGTCCGTCTTGATCATCAGATCATTGGGGGTGGTGGTGTTCGGCGAATGCGAAAAGTCGGACAGACTGACTGGCACGCGAGCCCTGAATTATTTTACTCGCACACAAACCAGGAGACAATTGCAAGTTGCAAAAAGGGAGGAAATGGTACTTGATTAAATTATCCCATGCAGTGGATGCGAATGGCTGCAGACGTATTCATTGCACGGCCCAAAACGCAAAGGGGCACTCCTAGTATATTGCACGGCTCAAATGCAAAGTGGCTGCACTCCTAGTATATTGCACGGGTCAAATGCAAAGGGGCTGCACTCCTAGTATATTGCACCTTTTAAAAAATGCTAGTACAAGTAGTAGCTGGACTTGGGTTTGTATCCCGCGAGTTTATGTCTATTCATTTTTTTTACTGATTCCAATTGCCAGGTGTGTCTTTACCACCATATTTATCATCCAATCATTGCATTTGTCCAGTAAAAGATGCATAGGAAAACGTGTTTCGGTTGATTTCTATGGTACCTGATGCGTGGGCTCATGCGAAGAATATCGAAAATAAGAAAATCTTTACCGTTGGGTGTTTCTCGGGATCGGAAGCTGTTGGAAAAATGAATGTTCTGGATACCAACTTAGTAACTGAAGCTGCAGAGCCATCATGTGTTTACACATCAAAATGACGGCAAAGCACAATTCTACCTGTATTTCTTGATGCTCAAAATCGATTTTGTTCCTGGGGCAGTCATCATTCTTATTCACTGGCAAACAAAGAAGGCAGAACAATTCTTTTTTCAACTAGATGTTCACGCTTCGTGCCAATAGATAAAAAAATATGTAGCCTGAGTTGTTCATATCCAGGCAACGTTCATAATGCTCCCTGTTCACGTTTGTTGTTGCACTATAATTATATACAGGCGTCCCTCTCTAATCCGGCACTTGTTTATCCAGCACCTTTGCAAACCAGCACACTTTCTGGCAAAACGGATTTTTTCAGTTCATTTTCTACGCTTTAATCCGGCACTTGAATTCCGCCTCCAGCAGAGATTTTCTGTAACAAATCACTCAAACTGTACACAATTTGATTTTCTAATCCAGCAGTGTAACATACACTTGGGAATATCCTATGCACTCGTATTCCCAAATCTATGTTATAGATATGCATTCCACGAAGTACTTGGATTGACACAAAAAATCCCTACGTTTTGACACAAACATGTACGTTAATAGGTGGGCCGGGTTGGAGGGCAGGATTTTATAATCTAGCACCCTTGTTTATCCAGCAGAAAATGCCGTTGCAAAAGGTGCCGGATTAGAGAGGGACGACTGTGCTAGTAGTGCTACAACAAACAAATACGTACAGCGCATGAGCTGTCAAAGCGCTGTTGTATAACAGCCACGCCGGCTGACTGAACGTCAGATATGCGACTTGCAACTGTGACCTGTTCATTTTGGCTGAAAGTTCCTGGTTGAGGGCAAAAGGGACATGTCGTTTGACTTCTTATTTCTCACTCTCTGCTTCCATCATGGTGTATGTCTGCAGTTCGCTCACCGGAGGCAAAGCAAGATGACGAATCCGTGGAAGATGCCGGAGTTCAGGCGCATGCTTCCAACCTTAATAGAAACCCTCGACCCTTCTGGACTACGGACGCGCTGTGACGCTTACGGAATCATCACGCCTCGATTCAAGAAAAGCTTGGCTTCGATTCGTGACCCGAGCGATCACAACGAAAAACTCCTGGATGAGCTGAGAGGTGGAGATGCAGATTCGTTCCACATGTTTCTCAGCTGCATAAGAGAGTCAGAGACTCACACACGGGTCAAAGAGATTTTAGCTAAACTGGAACCGCTGGACATTCAGCATGTTCCGACAGGTAAGCCATACGGTTCATATCACAGGGTGCAGCACCCGGGATTTCAGGTGGTCCGGCCGAATGGGATACTTGACCGGAAATGAACAGAAAAATTGATCTGATGTGGTTTCGGTCGTGGCCGGACCGTCCAAACCGGGTGCTGCGGCCCTGCATCAGATGGAAAACACATGTCTAAGATGTGGTGTGAATTAGGCAGCTAGGTGCCCTTGCCGTCACGGCTTTAACATCCCGTGATCAGTCCACTTTGAATAAACGCCCAGATAACGCATAACGCTCGCATTACTCTTTTGAAGGGCGTAGTGTTCATGTCTACTTACGCGCTGTGGTATTCCTTGGCCACTCCAGACATTCATGGTGTATGTAGTAGTAGTAGCACATCGTGTTATGTTATGCATGTACCGTGTCCCGCTTTTAGTTGCTGTGCTTGAGTTGAGTCTGGAGTCTTGTTGTTTTGGACTGGAGAAATAAAGAATACTACAAAGGGGTGTCGACGAGTAGTAGGGTACCCGTGCAATCCGTAATTTGATCGGGTAGTAGGGTAGCAATTTGCTCCTGAGAACCCGATCGGGTAGTTCTAGTAGGAGTAGGGTGTTTTGCAACGGTGCACGTAAACAGCATGGCTACACGCTACTGTACATTTTCTATGTAGCGCAAGTGCACACTCACAGTACAAACCGTGTCAAAAAATACCCGATAGGGTACAAGTACTACCCGGATAAAATACCCGGACCTGTTACTCGACCAAATCCCTACCCGTTGCAGCCCTACTCTATTGGTTATGTGGGGGAATGTAACACAGTGGTTTCAAAGGTAGATATCAAGAAAGCTGCACATTTGTCACCTGTTGATCATCTCAGTGTTTCTAAGATGTTCATTGTGATGTCTCTCTGTGTACGACCTGTGGATCACATTAAGGCGGCAAACACGCTAATAGGAGATTCACACGATGTGCATTTTCGCATTTCAAGAGCCCTTTTTATGGAGTTTTTTCCTACGAATGACTCGATTGCCCAGCAAAGATAGAAACAGGCATGCAAGCTCTTTGCCCGCGAACGCTTCCCATCGCCAGGAACTGAGAGCTCTTGACAGTCACGTGCATAGCGGACAGAGCGGGGAGGCACATGTGGCAACAAATTCCAACTTATTCATAGGTACATGCACCATCCTAGATTATCTCGTGCGAATCAAACGCTCATGCCTGCGTGTAACACCTGTCAGATCACCTGCAGATCGGTGAGGTTCCTGCAGTGTGAGTCGCCTACTCGTGTAAGGGATCTCTTGTATATCGGAATCTCATCTGGACGGGTGAATGCATATCAAAAAACAGCAACGCTTGAGTTTTGTTCCTGTTGAGTGATGTAAAACTATGTGTTTGCCATCTGTTGTGTTCATTTACTCTCGGAAGTACAAGCACCATCACCAGCAGCTGCAGCCGCTGCTGCTCCCAGTCCGGAAAACATGTAAGATGAAGTATCTTACTTCAGTGTGTTGCTTACACTGCATACACATGATGCGCAATATGACTTCAGTGTATTGGTCTCACTACTTTTAAAGCTACTTTAGTATGATGCGCAATATCACTTCTGCGGCGCTATAAGCGACAAGGAATGCATCCAGAGCTGTGTGCAAGATCTGCATAGTGCACTGTTGCAACTCCATTGGAGGCCGCATCGTGGGAAGTTGAGCCAAGCTCACCGTCTCCGACAAGTGAGAAACCATGCACATTGCCTGTTGCACAGTGGGTGAATGTACCTCAATTGCTCTGGCTTGAGTGCAGTTTTCGACTGATTGCCTCATGTAGGATTTCTCTGCGATGTCCTGTGCATTGTGTATCGCAGACTCTTCGCACGATGCGAAAAGGAAATTGGGTCGATGCTCATCACGTCTCAGAAGTGTTGTTGTGAATTCTCCCTTTAGCCCGCCGGCAAATATTTTGATGGCAGCATGCGTACAAATGTTCCGGCCTGTTCAAAAACCTTCATTGGTACACGTGTGGCAGCATGCACAAGCAGAGCCACCACCACTGATAAAACAGTGCTCACAGCAGGCATATCATGCTGGGGGGGGGGGGGGGGGTCTCACCAGACCCAAGCACTATCATTCCTCTGTGCATTTGCTATGCAGCGGCCGTACTATGATTTACAGGACGGGCATTTGTACTTGGAATTTTCCGTGAACACTGTGACCAAATCATATACAGTAAAACCTGGTTTAAGCGACCACCCCACGGTACCACGGTGCAAGGAAAAGCGGTCGTGAAAGCCAGGTGGTGTTTAGAACCAGGTCCCAAAGTGCATGGAAACACGGTCTTTAAGAGCAGTTGGTCACTAAAACGAGAGGCCGCTTAAACCAGGTTTTACTGTAGGTGCAATTAGATTTAATATTGTTATCAATTAAGATTGCATAATCCCCAAGAGTGTGCAACTACCTGCACAACCTCTATAGAGTGTTGCGACGACAGAACTTCGCATCACGTGACATGGTTCAAAAGGTTACGCTGGCAAACAGTGCAAAGTGACCACAAGAGAGTTGAACCCAAAAGCAGGGTTGCGTAAAACCCTGTATCTATCATGCACAGGGTGCAGATAATGTGTACGGGTTTGTCGCGTGATGTGAAGTTCTGTCGTCGCAGACCCCATAGCTGGAGTTTCACACTCTTGTGTGTTATTTCCATAGTAGTTAGTATCAAGAGTACATAAACCCAAGAGTAGACAACTCTGATATCCAATCTCTGAGTACCCATGCACAGTGTGATGTCTTCAGTACGTAGTGAAATGACGATAAAGCTGGCTGCCAGGTTTGCGTTTTCCTACAGTTTAGGTGCAACAAGTAGTACGGTAGGTCCGAAAGCAAAGCCCGTGAGCGACGCATCTGAACTCTCAGAAAAAAAACTTACCTGGAAGCTGGAGGCCGTTGCAGATCAATAACGGCACAACACCCCAGGTCATTCCCCAACCTGCGGCTATGTGATGTGGGCAGTGGGCCGTGCCAGACCCAATGGACAGCGTGGCATAGGCTATAAGTTAGACTCCCGCTAGCGTTCATTATTTGCCTAATTTGTCTTCTACACTGCCATGCAGGTCACGATGTCTGTGGGAATTGAGAAGTATCATTGACTTTGGAGAGGAGGTCGGCCAGGTGCTAAGCAAGCGGACATGTGGTAAGTGCCTTGTTACAATACGTGTTTTTGAGCTCATTTTTCAACAATTCTTCGAGTACAGGTATTCAAATGTCTTTCTTTTAGTGCTATTGAACAATTCCTGTACACCGCTCTCGGTTTCAGCACCGAATTTGTGTTTGACAGATGTGCATTTTAAGACTGTTGCATCATGAATTTGTACACACACCTGTGCACACACACACACACACACACACACACACACACACACACACACACACACACACACACACCACCTGTAGACTCTCTCTCTCTCTCTCTCTCTCTCTCTCTCTCTCTCTCTCTCTCTCTCTCTCTCTCTCTCTCTCTCTCTCTCTCTTCTTTCTCTCTCTCTCCGCCTGCCTATATCACGGTACATTTCCTGCTCTCCTTTATCTGTCATTCTGTTAGTTAATTTTTCTCTCTTGTACACTGTAGCAATGGTGAAATGCTTGGCTCGGTTGATAATCCGAGTTCTATTGCATTTAGCCAACTGTCCAGCGACATTATTTACCACGAACCACTGAGTAACACACGAACCAAGCTTCCCACCATTGTTTATCTTTTTTTATTGCGCTATTGAGAGCTCTTGCCAGGCAAGGGCATCTTAGCGTCCTATCTACCCAATGCTGTAGGCAGCAAGCTGTTTTATCCGTATACATTGTAGGCCTCATCAGTACTGCTAAGAGCTTTTGAAGTAAGCCGAGCTACCGACAATGGTGCGAAGGAGGCACCACAGAGATTTAGATAGCTCGTTGCTCTAGCGCCAGAGTGCTCTGAGCACGAAAAGTAGCAGGCAATGCGAAATGCAGCATCACTAGAGCAGCGTACCGAGAGTGCTCAACAAGACGAATGTCTACTTGTCTACTTGTCTGTGTACTTTTCCATTGATTCGTCTTCTTTTGTTTTGGTGTGTGGATATCACGTACTGCACAGACAAACTTGCGCTGGAGCTGGTCAAAGGAAAAGGAGAACGCAACCCAGACAACTACCGGGACATTGTTGAGAACTACATGCACAGCCATAGACAATCACCGGCAGATACAAGCAATGTGGCGGGTCTCATCCAGTATTATCAGCAGTCCAAGAGGCTCACCGGCAGGGAATTTGTGGAGATCATCCGTAAGATCGACCACTCGCGTGTTCCAGACATCGAGGCTATTTTATCGTAAGTCCCATACGAAGCTATTGCTGGTGTCGGATCAAAGTCGTTGTTGAATGACGGACTTCAACTGTGGGGTGGGTGAAATGAAGTTTGGTCCATTGCCAGTGCACCATGCAACGGTTGTTTTGCATGCGTGGGGCCACATTTCTATGCGCCTAATTGCTTCTCTGTTTTACCGCGTACCCCGCTTGCAGGGAAGCCGAGTTCAAGGATACAAATGCTCGCGCACGGGAGGTACGCTCTTCTCAAGAGACCCCAGCCCCGTCTAGTTCAGAGATTGCGCAGCCAGCCTCTGCCGACGCGGCAGCAGATGAGCAGCTTTCTGTAATGGAGACTGCTGCCTCACGAGAACCACTCTCAGTGCAAGCCACTACACGACATGATCCCAAGTGATCGCCATGACTACTATTATCCACATACTTGCTAGACTCCTAGACCTCATGCCCAGGCGCGTGCAATGCAGGCAAGCACCTTGTGCACAACGCCGTATTGCATTCAAGTGCCGCCCAGTATCGACAAGCCGTCTTGCTTGAAGAATGTTGACATGAACCGGATCACAGCCAGTGTCAGCTCGAGCTGGTGCTGCGGTTACCTACCCTGCACCCCCACTGTTCTCAGCGGGTAGTGCACTGATGGCATCTCTGCGGATTTGCACAAGTGACCTCACCTCACCCGTGAGCCGTACCTATATTTACCGAAAAGACACGGCTACTCGGTTGTGCAGGTGCAAAGAGATCTGTTGCTATAATTATATACATGTAGTTGTCTGGTTGCATACCCTGTGCTGCTAATTGTGACCTTGCTTGTCTGGCGACCAAGCATGTTTTGCGCGATTTATGTTTGGCTTCCCTGCTCTCCTATTGATTTGCTATTTAATTTTCATAAGGGTGTAGTAAATTTAGTACTTCAGATTAACAATGTGTTGCAGCTGCAACTTTTCGCGACGCGACACGCAATTTCCGTTCTCCTTTCGTTGCGGCAAGGAAATGCCTGTCGCGTGCAGTCGTACCTGTCGCAGAAGCGGAAGGAAGTTGAACTTGTGCGACATGCTACGCGCGACGTATACAAATGGAGTACTCGTACAGTTTCTGCCGTGGGTGCACGTGCATAGTACTCATAGTGCATAGTACTCTTAGTTTTTGTTTTGTTTTGTTTTTGTTTTGTTGTAAAGACACTTTTATTGGACATGTACATGCAGCAGTACAGTTGGCACCTATGAGTATGACATCAGGGGATGGCTCACGCCTGGTAAAAAAAACAAAAAACAAAAAAAACAATGAGCGACAAAGCATTAAAGACAGTCAGTGCAGTACTCTAAGGCCGTGATCGTTTGGTCGGATCCAGATCCAGATCCATCGGATCCACTGGATCTGCAATGATCGATTGGTCGAATCCGGATCCAGATCCTTCGGATTTGGATCCGAGCAACCCTGCCCCGGGAGCAGGGTTGACTGGATCCATCGGATCCAAATGTGACCTTTGTGCGTATATGGTGGGTAAAAATCATTTTTATACTCATTGTCGTACGTCTAGTGGACTTTTGTTGACTTTTCGTACGACGCGGGCGATCAGTACGACTTGTGCCTTTTTTGGGTGACCTGTCAGCGCCATTTTTTACTTCGTGAACATGGCAACAGCCAAGGTCCGCAAAAAAGTGTTCGGTTGATTCTGAAGGATCCGACGGATCTGAGATTTGGATCTGGATCTGGATCTGACCAAACGATCATAGCCTTAGGGCATGTTCGATTGGTAGGATCGGGATCCCGATCCACCGGATCCACTGGATTCGCACCCTTTCGATTGGTCGAATCCGGATCCGGATCCTTCGGATTTGGATCCGGTCAACCCTCCTCGGGGAGCAGGGTTGACCGGATCCAACGGATCCAAATGTGACCTTTGTGCGTATATGGCGGGTAAAAATCATTTTTGTAAACATTGTCGTACGCACACGTGGATGGAGACTTTTTCTTCGTGGATGGAGATAGAGCTTGTTGACTTTTTGTACGACGCACGCGATGAGTACGACGTTCACCCTTTTGGGTGCCTTGTGAGCGCCATTTTCAACATGGCAACAGTCAAGGTCCAAAATAAAGTGTTCAGTTGAATCTGAAGGATCCGAGGGATCTGAGATCTGGATCACGATCCTTAGTAGACCTTACCAATCGAACATGCCTTAGTGCATAGGGATGTCCCAAACACCTAAACGATTGTGAACCGTGTGTCGCTGTCGCAGACCGTCGCAAAAAGTTGTATTGTGAATTAATTTAATTGGCCTTTAGTGTGAAACTCCGCGTCCCGACAAATAAATTATTGATTTATTTTCCCAGTTGTACTTTTTAGTTGTAAAGCTTCGTGAAGAGATATTTATTTGTCTTCTTCTTTTCTGTGTGTATGTATGCCCTATTAATAAGCCTGTGTGTTCCGTATGCTTGGTGTGGTCAGGCTAAGCCACTACTATTCTCTGCGTATGCTTGGTGTGGTCAGCCTGCTAAGCCACTACTATTCTCTGCGTATGCTTGGTGTGGTCAGCCTGCTAAGCCACTACTATTCTCTGCGTATGCTTGGTGTGGTCAGCCTGCTAAGCCACTACTATTCTCTGCGCGATGTGGTGCTCTTATTGGAGTCACATTGCCTTGGGCTTATTGGACTTAAAAACCTTTTAGACACCCTGAACACAGGTGGAGGGCGCAGCAACACACGACTATTTTTATGCCCGACCAAGCAACGTACACAATTGGCATTTGCTACGTGACATTTTTGCACCCGCCAGAACCAAACTGAACTAACGGAAGCGGGGCAGGAGCGAGCACGCACGCACGCGCATAGCAAATCATTATCTGATTTGCGAACAAGCGACCCCCAAACTGAGGCGAGCACAAGTTCTCATCATTTTCAACTGGATGACAAAAAAAAGAACAGAGAATAGGGAATGGAGCCACGCAGAGCGCCTGCAAACCACCATAGGTGTACTGATGAGACAGCGAGCAGGCTGGCGACGGGAAGAAAGGAGAAGAAGAGATGCTAACAAACTAAATGGCTGGTGAACAGGTCACCGTCAGAAACCGTGTGCACAATGTGACACAACTCTCGGTGAGCGCTGGGAGAGAATAGAGAAATAGAGATTGATACAGATACATGTAGATGGAGAGAGAGATAGAGAAGGGGGGGGGGGGGCAGAGGGATTCTGAGTGTCCACATGCGCCGTGAAGCAAGCATGCTTTAAAAGCAGGAATCTAAGTACAATGAAGCGTGTGTGGGCAGGCGTGTGTTTACCGCCATATTGCCAGGTGTGTCTTCACCATATTTATCAATCGAAGTACACGTGTCACAAGGGCTCTCTGCTGACTATTGTAGAATGTAAAGTATTAGTATTGGAGTATTGGGATAGTGCACACACACTTTGAATTAGTATTGGGATAGTGCACACACACACTTTGAATTTGGGTGTTGTTGGTAATCCAGCTACAGTGTCAATCTGAGCTAGCACAAGATGAACGCCGCTTTCTGACTGAGACCATTAAGCTATTTAATGTTTTAGAAATACACACAGAGAGAGAGAGAAACTGAGAGGGTAAGACATAACGATGAGAGGACAGACGCTAGGACGGCTGCAACACACGCACACACACACACACACACCAGTACGCTTGGGATTGCGTACCTCCATCAGCGCATGATGTGGTCCAAGTGCTGAATTACTGCCGCCTGATAGCTGTACAGAAAGACACATAAGAGGCAGTGCAGTGTAAATTAAGGAACAATCGGGCCGAAACCTGAACCAGCAGTTAGTGAGGCTCCATACCCAGGTACGTATCACGTTCATAGAATTATAGTATACCGTACTGGCAATATAATTATATGGTCGCAGTGAGGCCATGAAGCGTTACATTGGCACATGTTTACCGCACGCAGGGCGTTACATGCAAAGTCGCACAGGAGCCGTTACACAGGTTTCTATATTGCCGCAGTCCTTTTTTTGCTATTGCAGGACTTCCTGCTGCGTCCGGTTTTGAACTTTTCACCACGCGGTACACGTGCTTTCACAGTTTTCAGCCTTTTTTGCAATGAAAAGATCGCCGCACACCGCCGGACGCGCGTTACGAACGCAACGAAAATTTGTCGCACTAGCCTGGTCGCGCGTTACGCCGCACCCCCCTGCGTTACGCGTTACGCGGCAACATATATTGCCAGTACGGTAATATAATATAATTTCTATGAACATGTTATTATGAATTAATTTATAATATTGTGGTATTGGACATGATTCATTGCCAGGAGATGGGGCCAACTTAGGATATTTTGGGGCCATCTCCTGGCGTGTGTATGCGAGTGAGAGAATGAAACTGAGAGAGAGAGAGAGAGAGAGAGACACACACACACACACACACACACACACACACACACACACTCGCAGAGACACAGAGAGAGACACACAGAGATCGAGAGAGAGAGAGAGAGAGAGAGAGAGAGAGAGAGAGAGAGAGAGAGAGAGAGAGAGAGAGAGAGAGAGAGAGAGAGAGAGACAGAGAGAGAAAGAGAGAGAGAGAGAGAGAGAGAGAGAGAGAGTAAGTTACATTTATAAAGACAGGTAAGTCTAACAAATGAGGACTGAGACCTCTACAACAGGGCTTTTACGCCTGAAAGCAGGTTGTCAGTCTAGATTTTATGCGCAGATGGAGAAAAAGCGCAGAATTTTTGTAATGAGATGAAAAGCAGAAATTAGAGAGAGAGAGAGAGAGAGAGAGAGAGAGAGAGAGAGAGAGAGATAGAGAGAGAGAGAGAGAGGAGAGGAGAGAGAGAGAGAGATGGGTAAGTGAGGGAAGGAGAGAAAGAGGTGGAGAGATATAAGTATAGAGAGAGAAAGAGTTCTGGGGCATATCGCCGCTATGACTAACTATTGTGCTACTTGTAGAAGGGTTAACATAATGATTTGGATCCACTGATGCCAGGCCAGTGTGATACATGTGCATGCTAGCACCAGTCATGAGTGTGGTAGTCCCACTGAACTATGTCTGATAGTTGCACGACTCTTGTTGTAATGTATGTTTTGTCTCTGTCATTGATGCGCTTTCTGCTGATATGCTAGAAGCATACTAGACCTACCTGCACTGCGTTCTGTCTGTACGCACTCTCCACATACTTGGCATGCCCTAGCCCTAGCGCTGGGTTGTACCATGCAGTCTACCAGTGACGTAGGTCTCACGTGTACTTGTTTTAGCTACATTGTAGTGATTGTACATATTCACGGATCCTGGCGCAAGGTGGAGGAGATCGAGAGAGAGAGAGAGAGAGAGAGAGAGAGAGAGAGAGAGAGAGAGAGAGAGAGAGAGAGAGAGAGAGAGAGAGAGAGCTGTAGGAAATGCTCATTTCGCTAGAAAGTTCAAGAATCTATTTATTCATTTATTTCTTATTTGTCTGAAGTCACTAACTAACTTACATTAAAATTACAGTCTTCTCAGATATTTATTTACCGGTTTTCATTCCGTTTGGCTATTGCAGACGCTCGTTTGTAGTGTGCGTCTCATACTACGTAACTGTTTCTACGTAGACCCGGGTGCTCGAATGAGAGACAGGGTACCAAAACAGAAACAGCCTGAAATTGTACCTAAACTTATTCCGATTTCGTTTAGTTTTCACAAATACCATCAACATACGGCCCGCTAACGGGATGCCAAATTTCAGCTCTGCCCGGCAAACTGTTTTTGAAATACTCACGACCCACTTTTTGTTGGGTCCTTGATTCGAGGATATGGGTCTCCTGTAGGGTGCTGCCAAAGACCTGCTGAATCTGCGGCTCCACTGACCATCTTGCTCTCAAAAACGATGTAGTAAGTTACTACTCCCTGCCCTCAACTGCCATACCAAGCGTAGACGATGGTAGACCCGTGTGCTTGAATCGGAGACGATCTGACGAGTTTGCTGTTTCTGATTCGAGCACCCAATTTTCAAGTAAAAAATCCGAAGGAAATACGACTATTTTGCTGCGTGCTGTAGCTTGTGTTGTAGCGCACCCAGGTTCTGAATTCCTGCTAGGTGGGTCAAGCCAGACTCTCTTCCTTGTTCCATCGCCTCTCCAAAAGTATATTCTGACATTGTTGAGATTTACAGATGAGAAATTGCACACCTGTCAAATCGTTTCTGATTCGAGCACCCGGGTCTACCGGTAACTTCTTCAGCGGACACAGATACGTGTAACGTGT